GCGGGGGGGTTGCCTTAGCCTCTGAGACCCATCACAGATGGGAAGCTCTGGCATCTGAAGCAACCTCTGTCTACAGTGGGCCTGGATGCAGCCCCCCTCCCCTGACCTTTAATCGGTTAACTAAGCAGTATGTTTAACTGGTTAACTGATTAAACATGATTTAGCATCCCTAATCTGGAGAATGTTTGGCCCTAGGGAAAGTTTGATATTAGGCTATTTCTTGTTAGAAGGTGCGGTAGTGTGATATCCTCCTGTTGGAGATATTTTAGCCTATCACAAACTAGTCAAAATTGAACTAGTGCCCTTGTCAAGCTCTACATAAACTTGATGCTTAAATGCCTGTAAAGAAGTCTTCTATACAGGCAGTCCCCGAGTTACGCGGTCCGCAGTTACGAACGGGGTTTGCTGCCCATCTCCCTGGTCTGCTGGAGACCAACAGACCAGGGAGACGGGGAGCAAAGCGGAGCAAAGCCGCGGAGCACGCGGACAGCCCAGACCCGTCTGGGCTGTCCGCTGCCCACGTGCTCCGCCGCTTTGCTTCGTCTCCCTGGTCTGCTGGAGACCAGGGAGACGGGCCCCGTTCGTAACTGCGGATCCAACGTAAGTCGGATCCGCGTAACTCGGGGACTCCCTGTACAAGCATTGCACATTTGTACGAAGTATGTACATTTTGTATTCTGTTTTGTAATAGAAATAGGTATATTTGAAAATGTAAAAACCATCCAAAATATTTAAATTGATGATACTCATCAGCGTGATTACTCAGATTAGTTTGTTTGATTGCTTGACAGACCTACTTTGCTATATTAATAACACAGTTAGCTTAAAAATCAAACCTCTGGTCTTCTGGATATAATTTTGTGAGTATTAATGCTACAATCAACACCTGAGTTTCCTGTGATTGAATGATCAAAGGAATTACTTTTTCTGGTTTTGGTTTGTTATGTTGAGCCAGTGTTACTCTCTCTTATTTGTGTGGGCCTTTGCCATGGTAACAGAGTGTTGGGGGCTTTTAAAATAAGAATATATCACAAAACCACAAAAGCCAGCAGGGGGATTTGAGGGTAGGTGGGTTGTACCTGAAATTATTTTTAAAATGCA